TATTGAATGATGCAGAAAGCATCAAGAGAAGATGGAAGGAATACACAGAGTTGCTGTACCAAAAGGAAATGGTTAATGTTCAGCCATTTCAAGAGGTAGCATATGATCAAGAGCCAATGATACTTAACAAAGAAGTCCAAAGTGTATTGAAGGAATTGGCAAAGAACAAGGCAAGACTTGATGGAATAAAAATTGAAATCTTTCAAGAAAGTGATGCAGCACGAGGCACTCACTCATCTATGCCAAGAAATTTGGAAGACAACTATCTGCCTGACTGATTGGAAGAGATCTGTATTTGTATCCACTTCAAAGAGAGGAGACCCAATGGAATAAGGAAATCATCGGACAGTATCTTTGATATAACACGTAACTAAAGTTTTACTAAAGTTAATACAGAAACGACTGTAAGCATACATTGACAGAGAACTTCCACAGGGTCAAGCCAGATTCAGAAGAGGATGTGGAATGAAGGATATCACTGCTGATGTCTGATGAATCTTGGCTGAAAGCAGAGAATATCAGAAAGATCTTTACTTGTGCTTATTTACTACGCAAAGGCTTTTGATTGTGTGGATCACGACAAGCTATGGACAACACTGAAAAGTATGAGTATTCTGAAACACATGAGGAATCTGTACATGGACCCAAGAGGCTGTTGTTGGAACAGAACATGGGAACACTGAATGGTTTAAAATTAAGAAAGTTGTGCGATAGGGTTGTATTCTTTCACCATACTTATTCAACCTGTATGCTGAGCAAATATTCTGAGAAGCTGGGCTATATGAAGAAAAAGGTGGCATCAGGATTGGAAGAAGACTAATTAACAACCTGCAATATGCAGATGATACAACCTTGCCTGCTGAAAGTGAAGAGGATTTAAAGTATTCACTGATGAAGATCAAACGCCACAGCCTTCAGTATGGATTCCATCTCAATGTAAAGAAAACAGGTCTTCACCACTGGACCAATAAACAACATTCTTATCAATGGAGAAAAGACTGACGTTATCAAGGTCTTCATTCTTCTTGGATCAACTATCAACACTCTTGGAAGCAGAAGTTAAGAAATCGAAAGATGTATTGCTTTAGGCAAATCTGCTGCACAAGACCTTTTTAAAGTATTAAAGAGCAAAGATGTCAGCTTAAGGGCTAAGGTGCACCTGACCCAAGCCATGGTATTTTCGATAACCTCATATGCATGCAAAAGCTGGACAGTGAATATGGAAGACCATAGAAGAATTGAAGCTTTTGAGTTATGGTGTAGGAGGAGAATATTGAAAATGCCATGGGCTGCCAAAAGAAGAAACAGATCTGTGTTGGAAGAAGTGCAGCCAGAGTGCTCCTTGGAGGCCAGGATGGCCAAACTTCATCTCTCATACTTCAGACATATTGTCAGGAGGGACCAGTCGCTGGAGAAGAATATAATGTTTGGTAGGGTGTAGGGTCAGAGAAAAAGAGGAAGACTCCCAGCAAGATGGATTGGCCAAGTGGTAGTATCAATGAGCTCAAGCGTGGCAACAATTGTGAGGTTGGCCCAAGATCGGACAGTGTTTCATTCTGTTGTGCACAGGGTATCTATGAGTTAGTACTGACTCGATGGCACCTAACAACAACCACAACAACAACATATAGGATTTCGGAGAAGTCCCTGGTAATTTTGAATCACCAACTTTTTTATCAACATCTAGTCCTTATCTTAAAATGCCATATTTTGTTGTTGCTGTTGTTAAGTGCCATTGATTTGGTTCAGACTCATAGCAACCCTGTAGCATTTTCGAGACTGTCAATCTTTGCAGAAGAAAGCTTCATCTTTCTCCTGCAGAGTAGTTGTGGCTCCAATTGCTAACTTTGTGATGAGCATTCCAACGCTTACTCTACACAGACTCAGCATGTCTGCCAATACTTTTGTATTTGGTTAATTTAGGAAACTGAGAATATTAATATCATCCTATGAATAATCTTCACACATACAAGAAAATAAAAGATTAATTGATATAAGAAATATTAACAAACTCAAGAGTCCTCACTATCTAACATAGTAAGGACATCTGCTTGGATACAGATAATTCCATATCTACCCTCAAATCACAAAGTGTATATTGAATAAGCTGATGTACATGCAATGGATTTTATATGTGGACATTTTAATAAGAATCTTAACATCCCTTTTGCCTTGAAATCTTCTGGGTTGTCTACATTCATTTAACAAGACATGCTAGTTTATTCTAGTGCTTCGAGAAAATCTCGAGTGGCAGCAATTTTACAGGGATTTAGTGAAGAATTCTACAGACATCAAAGGTATTCTGAAAAGGTTTCATTCAAAGGCAAGCCTATGTGTGAAGACTTCTGGGTGCAATTTTGCTTTCAGTAATCTACTCCAAGGTCATTACTAATGACAAGAATACTAACATGGTTTTCCATTGACAAAATGCCAGAAGAGCTACAATTTTTAGATGACCAAACAGCCCTGTGAAGCTCCTGCTTAAAGACGACTAAAGCCACAATAATTACCATAGAGACACTTTGTAAAATAGTATGCAAAACAGGGCTGAAAACAAGAGAAAGTAATTCTGATCTGAAATTCATCATCAAATAAATTCTGGGGGGAAAAAATGGAGTATTCAGAAAACTTGAATACCTTAGATATTCTGGGATTGTCTGCAGCATTCTTTCAAGAATTATACATTTTTGATACATCTTGGTGTACATCTGGCCATATATACCTTCAGTGCAGAAAGAATATGTTTGCATATTTATTCATGAAAGATAATTTAATGTATTCACAGTCTGTGTGTAAGGTAGGAGTGAGAGTAGGAAAGGGACTTGAAACTTTAAAGAGTAACTGAATGAGTACTTTCTGTTAAACCACTATTAGAATTAAATGCTTTAATTTAAGGGTCGCACTGCATTATGAAACTTCTTTAAGAGCCCCACCTTTAAGTAGGCTATGACACGAATTGCAATAGGGGCCAGCATCCCATAATCTCTTACCTGCTATGCTCATCTTGATTGTGAAGGCAACAATTCATGGTATTCACCAAAAAGCTAAACAAGCGACTATACAGCGACTTGGCCAAGAGATCCCGGTAAAATTCAGCAATCTCTATACTATGTCGCCGAATGATGGTATCTCCTAAAATTGTAGACAAAGAGAGAGATTTCAGAATAAGTGTTACCTTTATTTAGAAACAAACAAAACTGTCCACATTTTATTTATCTTTCATACACGCACAGACTGTCAAAGTATGAAAAGAGTAATTTTACTATGATTATATGGAGTCCTGGTGTGGTGCTGTAGGATAAGCACTGAACTGCCAATTCAGTTTGAACCACAAGGTCAGAGGTTCAAACTTGCCAGCCACTCCTGGGAAACTCATAGGGTCACTATGAGTAGGAACCAACTCGTTAGCACTTAAAACAATAACAATTATGAACTGTGAATTTTCTCAGTATTTATGTAAAAATTTCTCCTAATATATGTGTCATCTATGTTTTCATCTTATTTATTATAAATTTTGACCACAATCTTTACTTCCATATGTTGTTGTTAAGTGTTGTTGAGTTGATTCCGACCAATAGCGACCCTGCATAGGGTTCCAAGGAGCAGCTGGTGAGTTTGAACTATGGATCATGCAGTTCAAATGACTTTGTAGTCTGATGCATTAGCCCACAGCGCCATGCCAGGACTCCATATAGGTTGTATAATTTTCTCAGCTAATGAACAAACTTTCAGCAGGGTCCCTCTTAATAAGTTTTCTGATAACAATTCATTGGTTTGGATACTGAAAAACCTGTCATTTGGAAACCTGGGTGTGGAGTTGGGAATCAAGATTGGCCCTAAGATAGATGTTTTTATGTCATTCTTAAAGAGGTAGTGATTGAAACTATGAATGTTAAGAATCTTGGAAAAGACACAAAGAAAAAAAAGATTTTGGATGATTTAGAATTGGCCGGAATAGGAGTGTAGATAGGAAGAAGGTCTTGGCTAAACTGACTAATCATTGCATCTCTGTCTCAGCAGAGAATCGAATAATAGAATAATGGCTGTGTGCCATCTGAGTGAAACAGCTGTCAGTCTCTTGGAGGACAAAGAATTGTTTTTGAGAATAGCTGATGTCTAAGCAAGGAAGCAATGATGAGTAAGAGAGCTACAAGTCCAGTCATCAAGGTGGATCAACACAATGTGGCAATGAAAATAGGTGTGCTCAATCATGTGGTTGTTGTTAGGGGCCATAGAGGCACCTCGGGCTCATAGTGATTCCAAGCACAACAGAAGGAAATACTGCCAGATCCTACACCATTCTCACAATGGTTACACTTGAACATATTGCTGCTGCAACCGTGTCAATGTATCTCATTGGCGGTCTTCCTCTTTTCCGGTGACCCTCTACTTCACCAAGAATGATATCCTTCTCCAGGGTCTGGTTCCTCCAGATCACATGATTGAAGTTTGAGTGACAAAGTCTCACCATCCTGGCTCCTTGGGAGCACTCTGGCTGTACTTCTTGCAACACACACTTGTTTCTTCTTCTGGGAGTTCATGGTACTTTCAATAATCTTGTCAAATGCACCAATTCTTCTATGGTCTTCCTTATTCTTTGGCCAGTTTTTATATGCATATGAGGCTACAGAAAACACCAGTGCTTAGTTTAAGTGCAACTTAGTCTTCAACCTGGTATCTTTGCTCTTTACAGCTTTGAATGTTCTTGTGTAGTAGATTTTTCTAATCATTTCTTGACTGCTACTTCCATGAGTGTTGACTGTGGATCCAACCAAAATGAAGTCTTTGGCTACTTCAGTCTTTTGTCCATTTATCTTTATGTTATTTATTGGGAAGATTTTGTTTTCTTTCTATTGAGGTGCAATCTAAGCTGAAGGCTGTGGTTTTTAATTTACATTCAGTTAGTATTTTAAGTCCTTTTCACTTCCATTAACCAAGGTTGTATCATGTACATATTCCAGGTTGTTAACGAGTCTTCCTCTAATCCTGATGATGCCAGGTTCTTCTTCATATAGAACAGCTTCTTGGATTATTTGCTCTGTATATACACTGAATAAGCATGGTGAAAGAATACAACCATGGCACACACCTTTCCTGATCTTTAAACTATTCAGTTTCCTTTTTTTCTCTTCAAAGAACAACTGTCTCTTGGCCTATGTACAAGTTCCCCATGAGCACGATTAATGTTCTGGAATACCCATTCTTTGTATTGTTACCCATGACTGTTCATGTTCCACATCGTGAAAACCCTTTGAATAGTTTACAAAGCACAAGTAATCATCTTTTCTGGTGTTTACTTTCAGCCAAAATCCATGTGATGTCAGAAATTATATAACCCAAGTTCTACTTCCTCTTCTGAATCCAGCTTGAATTTCTGACAGTTCCCTGTCAATGTGCTGTTGCAACTGTTTTTGAATTATCTTCAGCAGAAGTTTTCTTGCACATGATATTAATAATATTGTCCAATAATTCCCACATTCCATTGGGTTACCTCTCTTTGGAATGGGCATAAATACGCATTTTTTCCTATCATTTGGATAGGTAGCGATCTTCCAAGTTCCTTAGCATAGATGAGTGCGTGCCTTCAATGCTGCATTAATTTGCTGTAAGTTTTTAGTTCGTATCCGATCAATTCCTGGAGACTTGCTTTTTGCCAGTGCCCTTCAGTGCAGGTTCAACTTCTTTCTTCGGTGCCATTGGCTCTTGATCACATGGCACCTCCTGAAGTGGTGGAAGATTGACCATTTCTTTTTCATGAAGTGATTCTGTGTATTCTTTCCATTTTGTTTTGATGTTTTCTGCACCGTTCAGTATTTTGTTCATGTTGTTTCTGAGGAGCAGCTGGTGAATTTGAAACACTGACCTTGAAGTTCAAACCGACAATGCATTTGAATGCTTATCCTACAGGGTCATACCAGGAGTCCATTTTACCCATTGTTGTTGTTGTGAAGTGCCATTGAGTTGATTCCGACCCATAGCAACCCTGTTTCCAAGGAGCAGCTGGTGAACTTGAACCACCGACCTTGCAGTTCAGATAACTTTGCAGTCTGACGCATTAGCCCACAGTGCCACACCAGGACTCCATTTTACCCAGAGAATCCTTCATATTGCAAGTCGAGGTTTTAATATTTTTTTTAGTTCTTTAAGCTTGACAAATACTGAGCATGTTTTCACTCTTGGGCATTCTAACTCCAGGTCTTTGCACATTCCATTATAATACTTTATTTTGTCTTCTCAATTACACTTTGTAGTCCTGGTGTGGTGCTGTGGGTTACTGCACTGGAATGCAAAGTCAGTGGTTCAAGTTCACCAGCCATTCCTCAGAAACCATATACATGGTCACTATGGGTAGGAACTGACTCAACAGCAGTTAACAACAATAACAATTACACTTTGAAATTTTCTGTTCAGCTCTTTATACTTTCTCATTTCTTCTAGTCACTTTAACTTCTCTATATTCAAGAGCAAGTTTTAGAGTCTCTTTTGACAGGCATTTTTTAGTATTTCCTTTCTATCTTTTCTTTTTAATGACCTTTGTTTTGTTTTTTTCTTATGATGTATTTGATGTTATACTACAACGTTTTAGTCTTTAGTCATTCTGAATAATAGTGGTATTGACTGGTGTTCCTTCTAGGGGTATGAATATTATCCTATCACAGATAGCAGTGTACTTCAAGATAGATGTTGACATGATCTTTTGAGGATGAATGAGACACCAATCCTCTTCAATTTGATGTTCATGGTATAATAAACCATACAATTGTTAGATTCAAAAGGAGCAATACTAGTGCATTTCAGCTCACTAACACCTACCATATCAATCTTTACGCTTTCCATTTGATTTTGGCAAATTCTAATTTTCCTAGATACATAATTCATACATTCCACATTCTGATTCTTAGTGGATGTTTGCATCTATTGCTCACTCTAAATTGTGCCCCATTAGTAAATAAAGGTCCTGAAAGCTTTGCTCCATTTATATCATTATGGTCAACTCTACTTAGAGAAGACAGTTCTGTCCCAGTCGTATTTTGAGTGCCTTCGAACCTGAGGAGCTCATCTTCCAGCACTGTATTCATATAGCTTTCAGGCTAACCATTCAGAAATAACTAGTACAGTTCTTCTTCTTCCTTGTCTGACTTAGTCTAGAGCCTCTGCTGAAATCTGTGCACCATAGATGGCCCTGATGGTATTTAAAAAACTGACAGATGAGTGACTGGTGGTTTGTCATTCATATTAATATTTGACATATGTTGTCATTTATATTAATGGTGAGTTAAATTTTCTCAGAAAAGGATAATGTATTTGGAGTACTTCATGAGCTGAGTATTGTTAGATGCAAGAATATCACTGGAAAAAAGAACTGCAGATGAAACATTAAAGTTAGCTATGACACAAACAATGAAGGACATACTACTGTTGTTAGCTGTTGATTCTGACTCAGACGAGATTCGAGGTGTGCAGAGCAGAGCTGTGCCATAGGATTTTCAGGCTGAAACATTTTGGAAGCAAATTGTTTTTTTGTTTGCTTTTTTAGGAACTGAGCGAAGGTTTACAGGGCAGATTATCTGTTTTACAGTCAACATATCAGAGTGTTTTTCAGTTCAGTGATTGCGATCCCCTCCAGGGAACATCAGGTAGTCCTCTTCCTGACTAGGATTCCTCTTTCCATCTCATTGTGTTTCTTTCCCAATGTTCTGAATTTTGGTCTTAGGAAAATGCTGCCCTTGTGATCTTGAAGGGCTGACCATTCCATGGTGTGCATACTTTGCTAGGGTTGCTGTCCCCATATAGTCCCCCTATCTAATTTCTGGCAGAAAATTGAGTCATGAGAGTGAGTTCAGTTCCAGATCTGAATTGTGAGTGAGGATCCAAGCCTCAGATTCCTCCAGTGTTGTTCTAACCAGCAAGCCTGGTCATTTTCATAATTTTGAATTTTGTTCCATACTTTCTCTCACTCTATCCAGGACCTTCTAATGTGGTCCCTTTCAGAAGAGTTGGTAGTGGCAGAGCCGGACACCATCTAGTTCTCCTGATGTCCCAGCATCATGGAGAGGGATGACTATTGATTCCATTAGTCCACAGGACTAATTAATTCCAAGCATCTTCAGGTTTCATCATTCTCCTTTCCTCCACACAGGGAGAGAACAACAGGTACACCTTAGGTGGCTGCTCACGAGCTTCTAGTCCTAGTTGTTACTCCCCAAATAGGATGCAGAACACAGTCTTTGTGGACTGTGATATCCTGTCTGACACAGGCAACTAACAGACATAGTACACCATCATTACATGATTAACTTCCCTGTATAGGAAGAGGACTGTGTTTGAAAGATTGATAGTCTAGAATGAAAATAGTTTCAATACAGAAAGCTCATTCCTGAAGCAATATCAAAGGAAGGCAAAATGGGTAGAACCAGGTCTCAGACTAGGCAGCCGACTGTTTCTCTGGTAGTAGGCAAGAAGGATAAAGTAAGGCAATGGCAACTGGAATGAAGAGAAGGTAATATGTTTGAAAGGTATTTATGGGATAGAACTAGCATGTGTCTGACAACCTCAATGGAAAAAGTATCAAACATGGCTCTTGATGTGTCTGACAACCTCAATGGAAAAACTATCAAACATGGCTCTTGATGTGTCTGACAACCTCAATGGAAAAACTATCAAACATGGCTCTTGAGCAGCTAAGTTTCAAATGAACATTTCCATTAAATTAAGAAGTTGTTGTTGTTGTTGTTAAGTGCTGTGGAGTCAGTGCTGACTCATAGTGATCCAGCACAGGGTTTCTGAGGCTATAAATCTGTACGGGAGCAGAAAGCTTCATCTTTCTGCCCGTGGAACAGCTGGTCGTTTCAATCTGCTGGCCTTACGGCTCGCAGCCCGATTCGTAACCACTATGCTACCAGAGCTCCTTAAATTAGGAAGTATACAAGGGAAAATATGAGTGTAAGAATGAGGCAAAATGTATCAGCCACACACCTAAGATTGGGCAGGTGAGTACAGTAGGGAGAGCAGTTAAGAATCATTGTGATCGATTTTCAGAAAAATGCTCAGTTAGATGGTGCGAACTCACAATTATGTTAACAGAAAGGTTGGTAAGACAATAATTTCTAATGAATATTTGATAAGCATGTACCAGAACCATTCTCCTTGCCTTTGAGTAGAGAATGTAGATGACCAGTGATTAAACTTGGGAGTCAGCTAGCATTTGATTCTAATCCTCAGTATACCATTTACAAGTAAGTGACATTCAACGTTATTTTTAAATCTTAGCTTTATCACAAGTTAAAATGGAAGTAATTATGCCCACTTCATAGTGCCCGTCAAGTAAAAAAAAATTCCCAATATCCCAGCTATTATTTTGGTCAATTGAGGTAACAGGAGAAGGTTATTTCTTTATTGAATAGGACATCATGGAATCACACATACTTATGGAACCAACTTTCAATTGAATGAATCCTCTTTGATTGATGACTCTCCCCCCCCACCAAATGTTTGGTAAGGTAGAAAATGTGACCAGTTAATTAAAATTAATTCTCGAGCACATAGTTTGCAATGGGTTTATGATGCTTTTCTTATTTAACATTCAATTCATAAAAATAATTTTACTGGGAAAAATAAGGCAGAACTTTGCTTAATTTCCACATTTCAGAGATAACAACAAATTACACAAAGGTGAAAATCAGAATATAGAAAAACTCACCTTTAAAATATTGAATATCAGTTGTTAAAGCAGACAATAATTCATCTGCAGATACTTGTAACATCCCAGCTACTAAAATTTAAGCAGAATTGAAAACACAATTAGTATATTTTTTGATAGCAAGAATACTATAGTTTATTATTATCATTTGTAACTTTTACAAATCGGGCTGCTAACCTCACGGTCAGCAGTTTGAAACTACCAGTTGTTCCGCTGGAGAAAGATGAGGCTTTCTGCTTCCATGAAGATTTACAGCCTCGGAAACCCTGTGCAGGGTTGCTATGAGTCGAAACCAACTCCACAGCACGTAACAACAACAGCATGGGCACATTATAAAATGTACGTCTTACAGAAGACTCAACCACCTCTGCTGCTGTTGTTAACTAGAGTCAGGTGGTTCTGACTCATACTGACCCTGTATTTCCAAGGAATGATTGATAAGTTGGAACCTCCAATCTTGTGACTCAAACTAACCTTTCAGTGTAGTGTTTAGCCTATGGCATCTTACCAGGACTCCTCATTGTCAAATTCAACAAGGGAATCACTTATAGTAATCAAAATATAAACAAATTCTTTTGGTTCTTTAAATCACAACACAGTTTTCCTGCTTGTTCTTGCACGTGGTACAGACTGTTTCTCTGAATTCTTAGATGACTTTGAAATCAAGTAAAGATATGTTGGTTATTGATAGGCTGTGGTTTTAAGGTATTTTGTAGAAATCTGGGAGTGACTAACAAGAAAACTTCAAAGTAAATATAGATTTGGGGCAAGATCTTTATCTTAGATTTTATTTCAAGCATTTAGTTAATGATGATGGTGGTGGTTATGTGTCGTGGAGTCGGTTCTGACTCATAACAGCCCTGTACAGGGTTTCTGAGGCTGTATATCTTTACAGGAGTAGAAAGCCTCATCTTTCTCCCATGGAGCAGCTGGTAGTTTCGAACTGCTTACCTTGCGGTTCGCAGCCCTATTCGTAACCACTATACTACCAGAGCTTCTTTAGTTAATGTTAATGACATACCCCCTAAAATATACAGGGTATAGGAGGTGGGGAAGAAGACTATTTAGCTCAGTATAATTAAACTCAAGTATATGTTGATGAATCAATGTTGTTAATGGAGTTTAAAATATCATAATGTAAATGTCCATCTTCTTTATTCTCATAGCCATGTATAATGTTGTGTGTGTCATCAATCAATTCCTACTCACAACAACCCTGTATAGAGTTTCCAAGGCTTTTCAAAATTTTGGGGGCAAGAAAGCTTCATCTTTCTCCTATGGTATGGCTGGTGGGCTCGAACCACAGACTTTGTAGTTCGCAGTCCTGGGCTTATCCTACAGAACCACCATAATGTCAGTGACTTATAATGGTGGTGGTTGTGTGCTGTGGAGTTGGTTCTGACTCATAGTGACCCTGTATAATGTTTCATTCTGTAAATGTTTATGAGAGCAGAAAGGCTCATTGTTCTCCCACGGAACCACTGGCACTTTCAAACTGCTAACCTTGAGGTTAGCAGCCTGACTCATAACCACTACACTACCAGAATTCTGTAACAATTTATAATACATAAGTACAAATTAGATACAGGTCTTTTGTTTTTGTATCTTCTTCTCCTTGATCTCTCCCATCGTTGTTGGTAAGTGCCTTCAAGTCAGTTCTGACAAACTGCGACCCTGGATAGGGTTCCTAAAGAGCAGCTGGTGGGTTTGAACTACTGACTTTACAGTTAGCAGTTCAGTGCTTATCCTACAGCACCTTGTAAGGGTCACTCCTTCTTACTTTTCTGTAGTATGTCTCCATCTACTGGCTGCTTTACAAACTGCACATCAGTGAAGTTCATGGTTGCACTGACCTTGTTCCAGAAGCTGGAGGTCAGACACAAATGTTGAGTCGGCGTCTGTGAGAGTTGTGAACCGAATATCTCCAATGTGAAGGATTGCTGCTAGAATCAGAAACAGATTCTCCACCTCCTATACGTTTTACAAATAGAGAAATTGAACAGAATTCTTAAAAACTATAAAAATAATTTTTCTTCAGAACCCCAAAATTGGTTAAAATAATAGATAAATTGAAGGGTTGTGGTTTTTCACAGCCCAGGTAGTTGATAAGAAAATTAAGGCTCTCTGAAGAATATTTCTTTAGTATCAGTGTTTCTGTTCCTTAGTAACCCTATCATGATCCAATTATTTTCCAATTTGAATTTTGTGTTGCTTTCTCCTTAATGGAAGGCATGCAGAATCCAGGAGCATTTCTGAAATTTTGTTATGAAATAGGGATTCTAAGACATACTAGGTGGACTATACATGCCCTTCTGAATTCTGGGGGTAGGATTATGTGGGGCACATATGCTCCTCTTGACTCTGGGGTAGGATTATGTGGGACACCCTGGACTCTGTGGAGCAAATTATGTGGGACACAGAAGTCTCCTGAGCTCTGCACTGTCTTCTAGTTCCCTTGACAAGTGCATACAATTTAGGGCACCTGAAAACACAGTATTCCCACAAATATGGACTCATCTTGAAAAAGGTAACTTCCAAAGAATGCACAGGAAATCAAACCCATGCCCACCAAGTTGATTTTGACCCTTTAGGACCGAGGGGAAGGGGCACACAAAGTTTCCGAAGCTGTAAATCTTTGTGGAAGCAGACTGCCAGTCTTTCTCTTATAGAGGCGCTTGTGAGCTGCAACAGTAGACCCTTCCGATAGTAGCATGCACGTTAACCGCTATGTCATGTTGTTGTTAAGTGCCGTAGAGTCAGTTCTGACCCATAACAACCCTACACAGGGTTTCCAAGGAGCAGCTGGTAAGCGTGAACCACCAACCTTGTGGTTCAAACCGAATTTGCAGTCCAGCGCATTAACCCACAGCACCACCCCAGGACTCCCATCACAGAACTCCTTAAATAGTACAAGGAACCCAAAATGTAATTATGAGTCTTATTCCCCAGTTTTTTTTAAAAAAAGGCCAAAAGAAACAAGTTTTGTCAAATCACATTTCCAGAATGCACCAACTTCATATAATACTCTGGAAATATCGGAATTTGTGACAAATGCCTGTTTTCTTTACTTTGTTTCAAACAGGTTTAGGGGCCCTGCTCCTGAAGGTAGCACGGACTGTCTGTGGGAAAACAGCGCCCAATAAACCCCAGAGGAGGGGACTTTAGGTGGGTGTTACATTTCCCACAGGTCATAAAAGGAGAACAGGGAAGTGATATTTTGATATGAGTGTGTGGTTTATTATCATGCAAAAAAGTGGCTGTAAATGATGGTGTGACTGGCTGGAGTCCCTTGTAAGGTCAGACTGAAGTAGAACTCTAATTTTGGTAGGGTGGTGATGTGCTAAGGAAGTTGGTTCTGACACACAGCAACCCTGTGTAGGGTTTCTGAGGCTGTAAACCTTTACGGGACCAGAAAGCCTCATCTGTCTCCTGTGGAACAGCTGGTAGATTAGAACTGCTAGCAGTTCAAACACATCAGCCCCTGTGCTACCAGAGTTCCTTGAAGACGAAGTGTCAAGGGATTCTAATCTGAGTTCTCAGTCCCTGTGGCTGTTTCATTAAGGAACAAAGATCATGCTATCCATTTCCTACTTACCACTTTTCTGAGATAAACTGATAAGATATGCATAGAATTTTTAAATTTCTAATAAGTAAAGGGAAACATGTATTCCTAAATAAACAAAATGGTAATTGGTCTTTAAGGTATTTTAAGGAAAACCCAGAAAAAAAAAGGGAAAAGAAAAATGATGTTGGTAAGAGCTATCTTTGAGCAGAAGGTAGCAGGAAGTAAGTGGATGTTTGCTGAAAGAGAATATCTAGGAATCTGGAACTCTACATACAGAAGTGGGACCTCAGACTTGGTTTGGGCTAGTCATTTTGTGACAAGAGTGAAAGATCGTGAAGTTACTTTAATTTAAAAATGTTGTTGTTGTTGTTATGTGCCGTGGAGTCAGTTCTGACTCATAGCGACCCTGTACAGGGTTTCCGAGGCTGTAAATCTTTACGGGAGCAGAAAGTCTCATCTTTCTCCCACGGAACAGCTGGTAGTTTCGAACTGCTGATCCTGAGGTTCGCAGCCCAATTCGTAACCGCTACACTACCAGCTTCTCTAAAACAAATATTTAATGTTATATAATCAAATTACATCCTATTTATAGGGCAAAGGACATTAAGATTTTATAAAAATCTTAGTTCCCTAATCTGAAAATTTGGAACCATTAAATCCCAGCAATGACTACTGTGAAGGGTGGGTCTAAGATCCAAGTCTTCTGTAGTTGGTAAAGTATTGAAGTCCTTGGGACATCCACAGATTTTCTCTAGAACTTCACATTTTCATCATAAGGCTTGATTGTATCATTTGTAAAGTGAGATAGTTGAAGAGGATGACATTAATGCAGTTGTCATCTGTAAACCTGTAAGCTTGTGGTGCTATTTAAAAATGCCTATGAAAACTCCCAACTCAAATATTTCAAATTCTAGTCATGCATGGAGTCCAGGTGTGGTGATGTGGGTTAATGCGTTGGACAGCAGTTCAAGCTTACCACGTGTTCCTCAGAAACTCTCTATTGAGTCACTATAGGCTGGAACTGACTCAACAGCACTTGACAATAACAACAACAACAAATTATTCACACCTGATAGAATAGCATTTTCCTAATGTCTTCAAATATTTGGCAACTTTTAAAAAATTACAGTTCTTCATTAAATATTCTGGAATCCTAGTGCAGCGCTGTAGAATAAGCACAGGAGTGCTAAGCATAAGGTCATTTATTCAACCCCTCCAGCTGCTCCTTGGAAACGCTGTACAGAATAGCTATGAATATGAACTGACTTAACAGCACTTCACAACATACAAGCTAGGCCATCTCTCCACCTGGCACTCTGCCATACGGGCTATGGAGGGTTGTGTGTTGCTTGGTGCTGGAAGCTAGGCCACTGGTATGTTTAATCCCAGCAGGGTCACCTATGGGGGACAGGTTTCAGAGGGGCTTCCAGACTAAGACAGACTAGGAAGAAGGAGAGGCTGGGCACATTAGAACGGTTAGCCACTGAAAAATCTTACATAGAGCAGCAAGGCCCTGTCAGAAATTGGGCCATAACATCAAAACATTATGATTCGCACCAGAATATTGTCAGATATATTGCCAGAAGACGAACCCCACAGGTTGGAATGCACTTAAAATACAACTAGGGAAGAGCTGCCTTCTCAAAGCAGAGTTGTTCTTAATGATGTGAATGGAGTGAAGCTTGGTTGCTGTTATTAAGTGCCATCAAGTCAGTTCTGACCCATAGCAACCTTGTATAGGGTTTCTGAGGAGAAGCTGGTGAATTGGAACTGCTGACCTTGCAGTTCAAACAGCTTTGAAGTCTGGTTCATTAACCCACAGCGCCACCCCAGGACCATTTATTTATTGATTGGCACAATGCAAAATGAGAAGAAACAGCTATAAACATTCATTTATAACTGAAACCTAGAAATAAAGAAGTATGTAACTAAGAAAATTGGAAGTCGTCAAAAATGGAATGGAACACATAAAGATCAATGTCCTAGGTGTTGTTGTTGTTAAGTGCCTTTTAGTCAGTTTCGACTTATAGTGACCTTGTATAGGGTTTTCAAGGAGCAGCTGGTGAGTTTGAACCACTGACCTTGTGGTTTAGAACAACCTTGTGGTCCCATGCTTTATACCACAGCACCACACCAGGACTCCTAGGCATTAGTGAACTGAAACGGACTGGCATTGGCCATTTTGAATCTAACAATTATGTGGTTTTCTATGCCAGGAATGTGAAATTAAAGAGGAATGGCTTCATATTTACTGTCAAATATCTATCTTGAAGCACAATTCTGTCTCTCTTAGGATAATCCATATGCTTACAAGGAAGACCAGTTAATAGCATTATTATTCAAATTTACACACCAACCACAAAGCCCATTGATAATGAAATTGAAGAATTCAAACAAGTTCTTCAGTCTAAAATTGATCAAACAGGCAATCAAGATGTATTGATAATTACTGGTGATTGGAATGCAAAAGTTGGAAACAAATAGGAAGGATCAGTAGTTGGAAAATATGGTGTTGATGGCAGAAAACATTCTGGAGATCGCATGATAGAATTTTTGAAAGACCAATGATTTATTCATTGTAAATACCTTTTTTAAACAGCATGAAAAGGCAGCTATGCAAACTGATTCAGCATTGAAGGCACTCACTCATCTATTCCAAGAAATTTGAAAGACAGCTACTTGGCCAACTGATGGGAATAAATCCTTATCTGTGCCCTTCTAGAGAAAGGTAACCCAACAGAATGCAGAAATCATGGAACTGTATCATTAATATCACATACAAATAAAAATGTGCTGAGCATAATCCT